GCCCACGGAGGACAGAAGAGGCCATCAGATCCCTTGGAACTGGAGTTACAGACAGTTGTTAGTTGCCATGTAGGTGCTGGGATTTGAACCCAGGTCTTCTGCAAGAACAGCCAGTGTTCTTAACTATTGAGCTATCTCTCCAGCTCCCTTTATATAAGGTGGGGTTTTTTTGTTTGTTTGTTTTTGTTGTTTTTTGTCTTTTTTGAAGCAGGGTCTCTCTGTAGCCCCAGCTATCCTGGAACTCACTATGTAGACCAGGCTGGCCTTGAACTCACAGAGATCCACCTGACTCTGCCTCCTGAGTGATTTATTTTTTATTTTTTAATTTTTAAAAATTTTACTTATTTTTATTTTATGTGTATGTGTGTATTGCTTGCATGTAGGTAAGTGCACCCATGTTTTGCAATCCCCGTGGAGGACAGAAGAGGCTGTTGGATCCTCTGGAACTGGAGTTACAGACAGTTGTTAGCTGCCATGTGGGTACTGGGATTCAAACCCAGGTCTTCTGCAAGAACAGTGTTCTTAACCTCTGAGCCTGCTCTCCAGCCCCTATTTTATTTTTGTTTTGAGACAGAATCTCGCTCTATAGCCCTGGCTGGCCTGGAACTCAAGATACTGATCAGGCTGATCTTGAACTCATAAAGATCCACCTGCCTTTGCTTCCTGAGTTCTGGGATTAAAGGTGTGCATTGCCATGCCTGTCTTTTCTAACCTTTTTATCAGTTATATACTTTGTGTTTTTTTATCTCCTTTTGTATTTGATGGCTTAATTTTGTATAAGATTTGGAAACTAGTTATTTAAAATTAAAAATAACAAATCATGTTTAAAACACAAATTGTGTATACTCTATCCTAAATATTCAGGATTCATAAGTACAGGCAGAACATGGTGACCATTTTAAATATTTTGAAAAAGAGAACTGTATATATAGTTTTCGGTGGGGTTTTTTTGTTTGTTTTTTCTTCCTCCTCCTTTGACAGGATCTCCCTGTAGTCCCAGCTGACCTAGAACTCTTTGTGGAGACCAAGCTGACCTTGAGCTCACAGAGATCTGCCTGTCTCTGCCTCACAAGTGCTAGGATCAAAGGCATGTGCCACCATCAAGCCCAGCTATATATATAGTTTTTTAAAAAATTAATTATCTTAAAATGTTTATATATACCCATATACGTCCATACATCTTCTTTGGGGGTGGTCTTTTTGCGGCAGGGTCTCTGTAGCCCCAGCTGTCCTGGAACTTGCTTTGTAGACCAGGCTGGTCTTGAACTCACAGAGATCCGCCTGTCACCACACCCGGCATATCCACACATCTTAAAATCCCATATATAGCACTCTGTAATCTTAAAGAGTGGTCACAGGTCATATGATACATAAGAGCAATTTACATATATATAATCTTTAGCTGCAAACACATAAAATGGTAGATAATACATTACAATAACATAGTCACACTTAACCATTTAGGGAGGCAAAGGATAATGTGAAACTTTTATATTCTGTGGGCCTTTGAGAAGTTTCTCTGTGAAAAGGAGGTGTGACTGAGTTTGGTCAGTTTAACTTTGCCCTCTGGATGAATGTTGTCCTTGGCTGCTTCTGGAAAGGCTGTATAACATACAGCAGGGATATATAGGGTGAAATCAGAAAGGTGTGGCTAAAGGCATCTCTGCTGGAACAGCAGTTTGGAAGTCTACAGATTGAACATAGATTAGCTTTAAAATAGTAATAAAAGTAATAATACTTGCCTGGCAGGGGAGATAACATGATCAAAGGTTATTTTTCCAAGACAAGGCTTATTCATTGCACTCGTGATATGCTGACCTCTATGATTTCCCCGAATGTGGGAAACTGAATAATTGGTGAATTGGTGCTGGTGAGGAAGCTGTGTTTGCACTTCTCCTGCACAAGTAAAAAATGAACAAACAAATACAACTTGGGGTCAGCAATGCGGGGAGTCTCCAGTGTGTTTACCTGGCAGCTTCGTGGGCGAAGACAGACTTAAATTTTAGAGAGGTGGGGATTCTGATCCTTGGATCTAGAAGTGTGGCTGCAGGAGAGGTCTCTGACCTGGAGGCAGGTTCTGGCCAGGGGCTCTAGTATTAGCAGGTGGGGGTAGGTTGAGGAGTTGGGGGGAGTGGAAATGAGTGGGAAACAGATAGAAATGGGAAGGTTGGCAGAGTAAGTGCTCAGATAGGAGGGCACAAGCTGCCATTTGTGTCAGTGAGAGGAGTCAGAGCACAAAGAGCCTGAGTCAGTTATCTGGTTACAGCAGGATGCGTGGTTAGGAAGCAGCTTCTTCAAGAAGGAAAGCTGCTCAAGGCAGAGTTGCTGCTCATCCAGCAAGCAGGAAGAAAGGTTTTTCTGGAGAAGTAGATCTTTAGTAGCAGGCTTGGAAAGCAGTATACAGTGTGGCAAGAGGAAGTACAAGAACAGGACAAGTTAGGCAGATCAGACCTATGAGACTGGTGGGGGAGGGTGTTTATGGAGAACCTGAAGTGTGAGCACTGGTCAGGGCAGAAGCTGAGAAAGATAAGGAGTTGAATGCAGGAACTTCAAATGGTATTTCATTGCATAAGTCCTTTTGAATCTGGAAACCGAACATGTCACCTTCTGGCTAGTGGTAGCCATTGTTGAGGGGGTACTACGGCCAGGACATGTTAGCGTAGAAAAATTTTGAGGAGATACACCAAAAAGTCTCCAGAGGATTGCTAGCCCACCCATGGCTTTGAAGAAGGTTGAGATTCTTCCTGACAGAAAATAGGACGAAAGGAAGTGGTGTTCTCCCAGTCTTGAGTAAGAAGATGTGTTGAGGACTGCCTGTTGGAGGGGGACCTGCAGTTGAGTGTGAGGGTTTCTGAGAAGTTGGCTTTGTGTATGGTCAGAGAATTTCCAGAGAAGGGAAGAAATCACAAAACTCACGCAAAGTCAGATCAGCTGGTACCAGATGCCAGGAGTGCAATGGAGGGATGGTCCCTGTCAGGTCACTCAAGGGAAAGGAGGGGGGTACAAAGAGCCTGAGGAAGAAACAGGAGGGGGAGAAGAAGCAGGGGAACCCTGTTGGAGAGCCCACATTACATAGACTGTGTAGGCCACCAAATGAAACAAAAGACCGGAGTTTTTTTGTTTTTTGTTTTTTTAAATATTATTTTTACTTTATGTATATGAATGTATTGCCTGCATGTGTATGTGAGTTGCACCCGTGTTGTGCAGTGCCATGGAGGTCAGAAGAGGGCTTCAAATTCCCCTGGAACTGGAGTTAAGGATGGTTCATAGCCACCATGTGGGTGCTGGGAATCGAATCCAGGTCCTCTGCAAGAGCAGTCAGTGCTCTTAACTGCTTAACCATCTCTCCAGCCCCCAAAGACCAGGTTTAAGACAGCATAGGCCTTTATTTCTTGAGGAAACAACCTACAAGAGTGGGTGTAGTCTACTTACAAGCTGGGGTAGAGGGCAGAAGGCTGGGGAAGGGGTTTGAAAAGTTTTATTTTTAAAAAAATTTTTATATATATGGGGGGTGTTTTTGTTTGTATGTGTCAGAGATTGGCCATTGCTAGGAGTAACCAAAGAATGGTGAGTAGTGAGGAAAAGAATGTCAGATGATGGATGACCATGTCATGGCCAGCCATTGTCAGGGGGTCTGCATAGGCTAGTGGCAGGAATAAAGGAAAACAGGTCTAGAAGGCTGATTACTGTGGTTTGGGGAAACTGCCACCATTTAACCAAAGTGGAAGAGCTTTTCAAAATGTTATGGCCGTAGCTAATGTTTTCACATTTTTTTTAAACCTTAAAAAAAATCCTGAATGTTTGAATTTCCACAGATATGTTTTTGCATCTATAGAAATCTTTATGTGGCTTTTCTTTTTAAAATCTGTTAAGTTTCAGGGCTGGAGACATGGCTCAGTGGTTAAGAGCACTGGCTGCTCTTGTAGAGGACCTGGGTTCAATTCCCAGCACCTATTTGGTGGCTAACAACTATCTATAACTCCAGTTCCAGGGTAATCTGATGCCCTCTTCTGACCTCCGCAGGCATTGCATGACATGGATGCACTTACATACATGCAGACAATACATTCATACACAAAAAATAAATAATAAAATATTATTTTAAATCTGTTACATTTCAGATTACATTAGTAGGTTTTTCTGATACCAACCAATTTTATGTTCTTGGGATTAAGCCCATCTTGGTCATGATACAGTATTGTTTTATAGTGCTACTTTGGGCCTGCTAGTAAATAATTTTGTGTTGTGTGTACATATATGTATGTGGTACTAGGATCAAACCCAATGCCTTGCACCTTAATGTTAATGGAAGACAAATGCTCTTCCATTAACCTACATTCCCAGCTAATTACTGGGTTTTTTTCTCAGGTGATTTTGCTGTCAAAATTTCTATATACTTCTGCAGAATAAGAATAGGATGTGCTCCTTCTCACATTCTCTTATTTCCATTTTACATGTATTGGTCATTGCCTGCATGCATGCGAGCGCACCCGTGTCGTGCAGTGCCATGCCCCAGAGGTCAGAAGAGGGCTTTGGATTCCCCTGGAACTGGAGTCAAGACGGTTCATAGCCCCCATGTGGGTGCTGGAAATCGAACCCGGGTCCTCTCTCTGAAAGAACAGTCAATGCTCTTAACTGCTGAGCCATCTCTCCAGCCCCCTAAATTGTTTTATAAGTTTCTTCTTGATTTATTCTTTTTCCAGAAATCTATTTATTCCATTCATTCCTAGATTTATTGAAATATTTTAATTTGATTTCAAAATATTCATTCAGATGTAGCTAAGCATTGTTTAAAGAATAAGTCAAGGGACTGGGAAAGATGGCTCAGCAGTTAAAAACACTGGCTGTTCTTATAGAAGACCCAAGTTCAAATCCCAGCACCCACATGGCAGTTAACAACCATCCATAATTCCCAGTTCCAGGGGATTTGATGCCCTCTTCTGTCCTCTAAGGGCATTGCACAACAGGGGTATACTTACACACATGTAGACATTATACTTATACACATAAAAATAATAAAAAAAAGAATAAGTCAAATATAATATGTAATCATTGTGCAGATTACAAGTAGAGCAGTGTCAGTACTTTAAAAATGCCGTATCCCTAGCCGGGCATGGTGGTACATGCCTTTAATCCCAGCACTCGGGAGGCAGAGGCAGTCGGATCTCTGTGAGTTCAAGGCCAGCCTGGTCTACATAGTGAGTTCCAGGCCAGCTGGGGCTACAGGGAGACCCTGTCTCAAAAAGAACAACAACAAAAAAAAAGCCTTATCCCCAGACTGGCCTAATGACTTAGCAGGTAAAGGCACTTGTAGCAAAACCTGACTACCTGAGCTTGATCTTCAGGACATGTATGCTGGAAAGAGAAGACACTCCCTCCAGGTTCTCTAACTTCCCCTCATGCATACTCACACATGTAAATAAAATAAATAGAACTTTTGTTGTTGTTGTTTTTGAGTCAGGGTCTCCCTGTAGCTCCAGCTGGCTAAGTAGACCAGGCTGGCCTTGGTTTCACAGAGGTTTGCCTGCCCTTGCCTCCTGAATACTGGGATTAAAAGTGTGTGTCATCATGGTTGGCTGAAATACAACTTTTAAAATTATTTTTATGTGTTATGAGTGTTTGGTATACCACCTGTGTGCTTGGTGCTCTCAGAGACCAGAAAAGGGTGTCAGATCCCCTGGAATTGGAGTTTAGGATGGTATTAGCTGTTATGTGGGTGCTGGGAACTGAACCTGTGTCCTCTGCAAGAGCAGTAAGGTGCTTTGAACTGCGAGGCTATCTCTCCAATCCCAATACAACTTTTTTAAAGCTTTATCCAGGGTCTAGAGGATAGCTCAGTCAATAAAGTGCTTGTTTTGCAAGTACACCGACCTAGTAAGTTCAAGCCCTAGAATCCATTTAAAACTGCTAGGCATGGTAGCGTATTCTTGTAATCTCAGCACTGGGGAGACAGGCAGAAGAATCCCCAAAGTTTGCTGACCAGTTAGTCTACCCTAATTGGTGATCTTCAGGCCAACTAGAGATGCTGTCTCAAAGGAAGATGACACCTGAGGTTGTCCTCTGGTCTCTGTATGCACACCTTCTCTTGTGTGTGTACATGTGCACACACAGTGCTTATCCAGTCCCCTTCTGGAGTTGACTGTTATGTTCAATTTTTTTTGACACCCAAATCTTTGTTAGTGGGGGGAATGGGCCTCAGGAGTTCTGGGGCTTCATCACATCTGGCCACTCCAGAGGGCTGGAGAGGCGCTCGGTGTGCAGGGCTTTGAAGGCACTGTCTGCTTGGAAGACCAGGCCCACTGTGCCAGTTTCCTGTGGCTGCAGTGTCTTAACTAGTGAAGTCCACCCTGAATTCTTCCGTCATGAAGGTGCTGGTATCCTTGGAGTGGCAGCTTGAGGATGCCCTCGATGATGTGCTTCAGTTGAACGTGGTATTCAACTCCTTGGTGTCTATGAAAATGGTGATCTTGTGGCACCAAATCATGAGAAATAGAGTTCTGGGGATGTTAGCACCCTGGCTGCCCCTGGCCCTGTACCCCTCACCCAGCACCCCATCTTCAATTTTTTGTAATAGTCTTTCCCTTTTCAGTCTGTCCTCTTATTTTTCACTTTTATTGAAGTATAATATACATGTAGGGAAGTGCACATAAGACTTCAGCTTTGAGGGGCTGGTGAAGATGGCTCAGCAGGTAAAGTGCTTGCTATGCAACAAGCCTGATGACCTGGAACCTACGTAATGGTATAAGAAGAGAACTAACTCCACAAAGTTTTCCTCTGACTTCCACATTCTTGCTATCTCACATGTGCACCCATATACACATATCATGCATGCACACAATAATTTTTAAAAATTAAAAAATTATTTTTATTTTATGTGTATGTGTGTATTGCCTGCATGTA